CCGCTGGAAATGGGAAACAAAATCACAGATAATATATTTTCGAGCCCAAAGCTGTTCCAATGAAAGCTAAAGGTGCTCATCTGTGATTGGGCGGTTCAGGCTTCATGAAATCGAGAAATCCTACTCGCGAAACATATTCCACTATATCTAACAAGAATTGAAACTGACAATCAACCCCGTATGCAAGACAAGTCTTAGGGCCAAGACAATATGGCTGAAAGTGATGGCTAAGACCTTTCATCATCGTTGCGTGGAGGTTACTGGCATAATGTTCTCATGAGTGGGACTGTCAACTCAAATAAAACTCGATCGTTCGGTTGGGGGTTTCTTCACTTAGAATGCTGAGCATGCTGCCCATTCTTCGCGACCAAGTTAACGTTGAATAAGAGGAACTGACTGGGTGCACGCATTTTCCAGGCGGGGAGGTATGCATCAACAAGCACTGAGAAGCCCGACTTGGCTACGCCATCATATATTCTCTATATGGAGATACCATCGCCTTTTCAACGGCTCCTACTCGAGATGATACATATTGACAAGCCTCGAATGGTTCAAGCAAGCCGCGAACTAATGCCGGCAATTGAGACACGTCTGTATATTGTCGAACTCCGCCAGCTGGGTCCGGTGGCTGTTTCGATGCCCATAAACATTCTCTTCATGCAGTCTCCACCCCGTTCTTGTTCCGGCGTCTGCAGAATAACGGCACATTCAGGGGGATGTCGGTTTTCCAGTACCGGATGGGAAGGCAGCTCGGCGACCTGATCCGTCCTTCTTTCTACAACCTAAAATGGGCAATTTCTTTTGGAAGTTCGCAACCGGGGATGGCCAAACCATCGCTGAAGCCACCATACTATCGAGAACTGCTTACACCGATCGCAAAGCTAGACTCGATCTCTCTAAGAAGACATCAGTCGAGAGCTGGAAAGCAATCTGCAAGACAGAGGTGCAACGCCTTCTATACTACCGCAGCAGGAAGCAATCATCAGCATGCAGTACCGATCTTGCTCATGTTGGTGGGACGTATCACTGTTCGATTAAGAATATATCTCTTTCTCCTTCAGTCTTACGACTAGACTTTCTATCATTGAGTTCGTCATCGTGCTTCAGATACGTGAGACTGACCCCTCCTCGTTCAGCTGAGTTACTACACTATGTTCAATACTCTCCCATACAAGGCGACATGGAAGCAGTGACTGGAGATACATAAGATGCTAGTCATGCATCCTCGATCAGAACAGCCATGCACCCCGGTGTAAACTATTTCTAGTCATACGAATGCTGAGAACGAGCAGTAGGTGCTCTTAACAGTACCTACTATCGGCCAAATGAATTTGTATGGGAAGCTTATACACCAGCAGATGAACAGCCGATCAACAGCACAGCAGAAAGCAACGAAACTTATAATATAGGTGACAAGTCAGCCAGTACACCTGGTCTGCTTCCGTTGTCTCTCGCCACTCGGATACGCCGGTTCTATGGAGCCCGGCCCTGGCACAGCTAGTACGTCGAATTACTATGATACACAGGCACTCGATGGTCACGCCTTGCTCTCTGGTCATTGTCTGCAAAACAGTATACAAATTTCTGGAAGGACATATGGTTCAAGACATGTGGCCTGATAGGCGCCATATCGGAGATTGATAGCCCGGCTCAATCACAATTTAATTGGTAGCTGTCAGTGAGCTCAAAGATCTGACTTCTACGCACCCAGCAATTACGTTGAACTCAACGACTTGCTACATCACGAGTCGAGATGAAAACAATGCAGTGTCATACGATGGAGGAGACAATCCTGCGCAGAGTACTCAGCCAGCGAGCTACGCTGTGGCCGTGCGAAATTCTCTCCAAACGGGCTGGGTATTCCGAGAGATCTATTGTCAGGAACTTGGGAATGTTTTCGTCCTTTCCCTTACCATGTTATATATTCTCCTCAAAAAGTGCCAATATTTGAGCGTTTTACGGCTTTCACATCTACTAATTGACACAAAACCTCGAAAGTGACTGCGAAGCCGGTGATAAGTCTGACGAGCTCATTCGGCCGACGGTACAAGCCTGCAGCATCTAGATGCCAAAGGAAATGGGCTGGATGCTGTGGAATACCAGTGGCAAAATAGACAAAAGGACCCAGGAATAACAGATCCAGACCATCGCAGTATGAAAGGAATGTACTACGGAAAAGTGCTTCGCTGGCAGCTGGTTGCTGTCGAGATCCTTCTGCGGTGCCTCATGCTGGGCATCATGTTAGCTGTCTATCAATACAGGACAGACTCAGGAAACGGTCTTTTGCTCCTTCATATGAAGATGAATGGTTGATTATTTGTAGCGGATGCTGTTGAGGATCTGATGCTCGAATCAATACTCATCATGCTCAGCCCTGAAAACTCAAGGACAGAATACGACCAACGGACTTGGGTCTGTTATAATGCCCAATCAATCAACATCAACGCCATATTTCAACCTCAAACGTCACTCGCTGGCGCTGGTGACCTTCAGATCATAAAGACATGCGCAGAGGCTCTGGGATTGTCCGGGTGTCTTGACTTCCTTGATCTGAGGTCCATAATGGCCCGTGATGAAAGAGAAATGGGTTCAGAGGTGGCTTGGACAGTGTGGCAGCCCAAAGCTGGGGTTGGTCTACTGGGAGTGTTACTACCCTACGTTGCAACGGGGGGTCGAGTTCTTATGGGCTGGGTGGGTGTCTTTGCCCCCTACGGATTTTCTATTAGAACGGCTCGAAAAGCAACAACTGACGGTGGAAGAGATTTGATGTCTCTATTTACTACTAGTACTACCAGTTATTCCAGACACTACTGGTGGTGCTATTTACTTATGTACAAAGACTGAAGCGACTACTACTACTAGTAGATATATATTCACAACCTGTATACCTAAATCGAGATCATACTCCCATGCGAAGTACCAAACAATTATCCCATCCCATCAACACATACATTATAAACCTATAAACAATAGAAAATAAAGCTCCGCTCTAGGATGAACAGTAAATAAATAAATAACACCCACAAAGAGACACAAAAGGCAACTGAACCATGACATGACCTCACCTACCCTATGCCCCACCCACACCAACACCACCATCCACCAAAACCAAACTGTAACCGTAACCGTCCCCACTCGAACCACACCACAAACCACCTCCAGTCAAATATTATCTGCTCCGAACCACAAATTTCCAACCAAGTCCGATGTGGTGTAATGGCTAACATCGCTGTCTCTCACACAGCAGCTCGGGGTTCGATTCCCCGCATCGGAGATACTTTTTTCATTCATACCCTTTCATTCTTTTTGTATACTTTGTTTGTGATTTGCTTTTGGTTGATCGTTGCTGTTTCATGTTTTATTTTGTTTCTTTTTCTTGGGTGAGGATGGGTTTCAGCCTTACTTGTATGTACTATGTATACTGCTAGGCTGTTTTGGGATAGCTTTCATACTGTGTTCAACTATCTGCTACATTTGATTGACTAGGGGATTACGTAGGTAAGTAAGGATGGGAAGAGAGAACGCAATCAATGCATGATGATATTCATACAACCATAACGCCATTAAGCCATATAATAATGAAAGAAGTAATAATGTACTCCGATAATCGAATCCCAGCTCGATTCACAACAACCTTCCATCACATATCCACATCCATCCATCCACTAATTCTTCATCCACAATCAAGCACTTCCACTTCTCTTCAACCCCTCCTCCACCTCACTCAACAACCCCAAAAGCTCCTTCCCACCCTCACTAACCCTCCCCTCAATCTCCAACCCCTTCTCAACCATCCCCTTGGCCTCCTCCCACCTCCCCATCTCCACCAAACACTTCCCACCCCTCCACCAAGCCTTCACATTCGCCACAGGCTTACTCTCAACACTACATCTCGCATCGACCAGCCCCTCCGGCCACGCGCGCTGGCTCATCCACGCCTGCGCCCGATTCGCATACAACCCCGCCAACTCGTCCCTCGCCAGCGTGACAGGTTCCCAGCCGGGCCGGCCCAGCGCCATGTCAATGGCGTATGTGTAGAGGCGGACCGCCTCGGCGTGGTTCGACTTGCGGTATGCGGTGTTGGCGCTGTCGCGGAGCTTGGTGATTTGGGCGCTGCGCTTGGGGTTGATGGGGAGTGGCGGAGGGGGGATGTTAGGCGGGTCGAGGGAGATGAGCGAGCGGTGCAGGGCGTTGAGGTCTGTGAGTTCGGCGGTTATTGTGGCGGTGGATGTGGGGAGCGTGGTGGTGTTGGTGGTGTTGAGGGAGATGGATTTGCTGGTTGGGTCCAGGTGGAGGGGGTATTCGGTGAAGAGGTCGACGGAGGCCATTTTGTGTAACCTTTCTTTCTAAGCTGTATGTGTGGGTGTGTAGAGTTATGGGTGGTGGGTATCGTTGGTATCGTGTTGTGGTTGTGCGAAGATCTTGTATAGCTAGATACTATCTATCTAGATAGGTATCGTGTGTAGTTTCAGATTTCGGTGTGACCCAGAATATGGTCTGTGCGGCGGTTGTTAGTGGTTTCAATTATATTGGGAGGGTTCATTGACTCACGTTCAGATATGAGTATTAATAGGGAACACGCGGGAACGACCTGTTGGATTGATTGATCGAAGAACAGGCATATGGGAGATGACAGAACTGTAGGAAGAAGCAAGCTGGACGCAAGTTGTCCAGTCCTGCGATAAGTCTGGGGCGGTGGCAGAATTGCCGGCATAATGGTTTGTGGCGGTCAGTCACCGGGTAATAATTTTGCAGATTGCATCGTTATCGCATTCTTGACTTTGATGAGATATGTATTTGTCTCTTTAACTGCTTGGCTAGTTGCACGAGCTTAGTTTTAGCTAAGATCTATAAGCCTAATCCACCTTTTATGTGACAATCTGTACGCGCTATACTCAGAAATTGATGCTATCGTTCGGAGTTCAATGTATACCTTCTATATTGGCTATCTTTTCTCATCGCTCGTCATAAGAGAATTCAGGGCTACCTGAAGTATTCGAGGCAAGGTGGCCGAGTGGTTATGGCGCTGGTTTTAGGTTTCCAAAACACCAGTTCGAAAGAGCGTGGGTTCGAATCCCATCCTTGTCACTTAACTTTTTGCTTTTTTACTATTTGCTGTCTGGTTTTTGTAGACATACACTTCGTTCGCTACTTTGCTCAAAATTCAGTCAAAAGTATGAAATCGCATAGCAGGCTGGTCTCCGTACACTTTCATCGCAAGTTTCGGTGGTAAAGTGAGAAGTGAGGTAGCGTACAGGGCTCCGTGCTCCGCTTTCAACTCTTCTCAAGATATCACATGACACATCACGGCTATTGAGAATCAATGCATCAATGGCTCTGACTATTTAGCAATAGGCTCATTCAAAGTCAAAAAATTGCCAATAAACCAATTGCATTTTCTGGATGTAGTCGCTACTAAGTCAATCTTGTACTTAGTGCACTAGAAGCACCCGAAACCCACATCAACATCTAAGCTACTATATCCATCGTAGCAACTCCTCTATGTCTACCGTCCTATACTTCATCATCTCCAGACTTGTTCTGTGTTGGCCTAGAGTACATTGAGCGCACCCACCTACGCCCGTCTTGACGGACATCACCCTAATCCCCAGAGGGTTGACGTCCGGGACTGGAAACGAGATCCTCGCGGCCTTCCACTTGTAGTAGAGTGTCACAATGAAGGCCTCATGACCGGGAGAGTATATTGAAATTAACATACGGATTAGGGGGGACGTCCACCAGCTTTGAAATTCCGGACGGCCGGTCGGTCCGTGAGGGGATTGGGAGATATCGAGCGCGAATACGGAAGAAAGGAAGGTAAGTGGACGCTAGAGAGTATCATCAGCTTTTAATTGAGGGAGGAGCATGGGGCTCAGGTAGCACTCACAGATATAATGGTCACAATGGTGAAGACCATCGTAGTATAGCCCTGTTGTCGCCGAATGCATCGTCCTGGTTTGCAATGTACTTCTCCTTGAGGTCCAGAAACAAGTTGGTCTTCATTTCATGTTAGTTCTTCTTTTCTTCGAATTGAATTAGGGAGGGACGCACCGAATTTTGAGCGGACTTTGCCTCCTCTGTCATACTTTTAAGTTCTGATCGTACTATACTTGGTTCATGAGGGTGTAGATAGTTACGTGAACTGGTAAGAGGCTATCTTATTTTCAGTACGAAATGCCGATTTGCACACGTAGAAAAGTTGAATGTTCTTTAGGAATTGAAAACTCATCACAGACTTCTTTAGCCTTCTAGAGAGGGTCAGACTCCATGTCAACAGGCGATCTTGTATTTTTCTAAATTTGCTTCATGTTGACAGCATCCATTCATCCTTTGGATACTTTGGCTTTATCATCAATCTGAAAACCCCAACCCTTGACCATTCCTAGGCTGTTCAATAAGCTAAGCGCTCATACTGACCACATCACAACAAGTGAGTTCTTGAGTGGTTGAGGGGGCTAATTTAGACTCGTCTCCGTTCTACACATCAGGTTTTGGCATTCACGTTTATAACCGAACGTAAACCGAGAGAGTCAAAAACAGTCAGAACATTTAGTACGACAGAGTAGATAGTCTCAAGATCACCATACCCCCCTTTACGAGGAACAATGCTCACCTTCTAGTCCCCGAAGCAGTTTAGCAATGCCATGTACTCACTTTATGGCTATAATAGACAACACACTGTCATACTACTTCTCTTTGATCATGAAAGCCATTCTGTTCACAAGATATCTTCATGAAAGATCTATTCAATATTCGCAGATAAACAATTTCTTGAAACGAGCGCACACCCACAAGCTATTCCATCAAGCCGGAATAATCGACCAGCCCTCAGCAGTAAAGATCAATTCCTCTTTCACACGCATCATTTCCGGATCCACATACACCTTCACCTTCATATCCGTTGACCTAGATGAAAAACACAGAATATTACATATACTTCATGTGTACTTTCCGACTAGGACTCACCGTTGGAAGTTTATTACATCTGCTGTACATTAGCAAGGTCCATACACATGAGAATAATCTTTAAAAAAAGATTATTTATCTTACTCGTCGGTACTGAGACTTGCTCATGAAAAAAGGCATACAGTAATTTATAATAAAGAATTTAACTTCTATGTAGAATCAGGATGTTTTCCCCCTCCAGATATCCTCCCGTAGATATTCTTTATCAATGAACAGAAAGATTAGTATACTATCATAGTTATTATAGATAATATCTGCTGTTTTATAGCTATGCTATACTATCATATCTGCATACTCAGAGAGGATGGTAATATATTTACAGATTATACTTTACCAGTTATTATAAGTAAAAACAGATAAAAATAGATTAATACATGAAAGAAGTTCAAAGACCTATTAATTTTAGTATATATATACTGTAGTTATAGAGACCTCGAGACTTATAAATAATTCTCCTCAGTTCTAGCGTCCTATTTCATGCCTAGGGTGTTGAACCAATAAGACTAGCGAAAGGCTATCAAAGGATCATGTTTCTGAGACATAGTCACGCACCACCTCAAATAGGACCATTGGCAACCCGTATCACTTCTGAGACGATGGTATCATCCCAGTCAGAAAGAAGATCTTCTTTATCTTTTGCTTTTTCCGCTTCGGTTTTCCCATTTTTCAGATTGAAATCCCTCACGTCGGATTTGTTCTTGGTAGGTGTTATTGATAAATCCTTCTTGTAATCTTCCCATCTGCGCGATCTGCCCCTCATAAAATGCATGGTTTCTGGCCTTGACGATGGGAACGTATCATTAAGACTAGATGCAGGGCTGCCATTACCGAGAGATATGGACGGCGTAGGGCTAGGCGACCGAGATGGTGTACACACTATTCTCGGTTTTTTTGGGACTTGCCCGGAAGTCGAAAATAGTGAACGTTTCTTTGCCTGGGCTGAGAATGTGATTTGGCTCGGTTCGTTCCCTCTACTGGCCCTGTCTATGGCAGGATGTACTTTTCTTGAACTGGTAACTGGCGTGAGGATCCCATATTGTCGGATATCTGACGTTCTTCTGGGTGTTGCAGGTTCTGAAGACGAAGAGAGTAGAAGCTTTATCTGAGGGAGTTCCTCGTCCCAGATGAAAATCCGGCACCAGTCTGCGCTTTTCCTCCCTCGTCTGCATGCCAAATCTTCGATATATTAGTTATTTCAGCTTAATTAATGGGAGGTAGGCTAACACTTCTTCCCAAAATATGGGCTTTTCTTGTCACTCACTGTCGATTTGTACATCTTGAATCCGTACTTGCAAAGAAAATCTCCATCGCCATAGATGCTTGCTCCTTTATAGTTAGACTGAAGAGCAGAAGACATGTTGGAATTTCACTTCACTATTCGATTTGATCTGTATGATTTGAGAAGATTTAGAGCAACTTTACTTGGCAATTGGCGTGGAATTGTGTTGTGGGCCTCAACCATAAGCCTCAGCGGAAGGCAGGGCATCATTAGCACTGTACATTTCTAACGTCTACTGTACCACACAAGCTATGTCACTGCGGCAGTGGATGAAAGGAGCTTTCGGTTGCGGCCTGCTAGGCTGTCATCACAGGGGTCGGTGATCGCACCATTCTTGTACTGTATGGTAATTTGTCACAAGGTCCACTAAATAGTACTGGCAATAGTTCCATACTGCGCACCAGTATATCAATCCAAAATATCAGAACAGCTATAAACCGTCGCTTCAAGCACAGGGATGCTCCTACACAGTAGACTTCTATCTACGTAGTATGTAGGCACTTGATATCTGCCCTTCTAGGAAAAGCGTCGGTTGGGAATCCACAGCAACCAAACACCAGCCAATCAAGGTAAACTAAAAGCAAGCAAGTTAAATGCAGTCCATTGTAGGAGATGTGGATCTATGGGAGGTTGGATTTCAGATGGTTTATGGCTTGTAGGGTTTAATAATTATGGATGTTTGAGGTGTTGTGAGGGGGTGGGGTACCTGTAGACAAAGAAGTGTGTCATGTGCGGAGGTTAATTCTCTGCCCAGGCATAGTAGTGAATGACAGTTGCAGGTATAGACATCAAAGTATCGACGATGTCAAGATTCAAATATTTAAGTCATCCAGCAGTAGAGGTGGGAAAAAGCAAGTCTGCATGGATTTTAGACCCTGCTTAGGCAATTATAGGGGAGAATTGGGTAGCCATATACATTTACACTTAACGCTATCTATGTCATAGTCCAACAGTGTCATCCAGATCATCAATAACCATGCAGACATAAGGTCCGATGCGAAAACGTAAGGGACTTGTCCCGTCCAATCACAACATACAGTCATCACCAGTGGAAGCAGCAGACAGGAATGGGCAGTTGAAACTTCACGCAAAAAGTCAATCAAAAAGATAATACAGTACGAGTGCGCCCACAAACACCGCTCCATGGTCATTTCGAAGAGATAAACGCAGAAAACCGCCGCTAGCCACGCTCAGCGTCCATAGCCGCTAACACTGGATCCGAATTCGGACGCTCCTCCGTAATGTTGGCCGTGTGCACCGCCATAGCTGGTGTTGTAGTCGTGGAGCACGCTTCCACTAGAGACCGTCGGGTCGTATGTGCCCGACAGCGCCGAGCGTGCTGCATGCGAGTTTCCAAACTCGTCCACCTCGCTCTGCTGCAGCAGAGCGTAGTCCTCGTCTCGGTCGCCACGGACAGAAGAACCGATACCAGCACGGGAGCGGAAGTCGTCTTCTTCCTCCTCGAAATCATGGGCAGGGTTCGAGGAAAAGGCGGCCTTTGTCTGCGCGGCAAAGGTGGGATCGGAGACGGCGTCGGGCAAGGTTCCGGTGCGGCGGAAATGCGAGACATTGCGGAAGGACATGAAGGCAGTGACGCAGAAGAGCAGGCTATTATATTATTAGCAGATATATTAGGGAAGCCATGGGTGTACTCACAAGACAACAACGCCCAGAATCACAGTAGCTGTGCTGACCTTGCATTTACTTGCGCTTCCGTAGGCCCAGTTATCGCATCCGCTTTTGCTGCTGCTGCTGCTAGTATCCCTTCTGCTCGACGAACTCGAGCTACTGCTGCTGGAGCTGGAGCTAGAGTCGGAACTAGAGTCCGAACTTCCCTTACTCTTACCCTCCGCCACATAGCTAGCCACACAAACCCAGGCAGAGAACCACAGAATGGCGTACAGGCAGTCGACGGTTGCGAAGGCATAAACGTTTCCGAAGCGGCGTGCGCGCGGCCACATGGGCACGGCCACGAGGTAGATCAGACCGGGAATACTGAACCAGCACTAGAATGATTGAGGATCAGTACATGTCAACAGGCGACAAGTGTGGGGATTCCAATAATCGCAACGTACCAAAGCAAAGTACCAGGCGGAACGCCCATCAATACCGCCTCCCTTTGTGAAAACAGCGATGGTTAGGGCCCACGCCAGGAAGATGATGAACCCCTGGAACCCATGGATGAGGTTTTTCGTCCTCCCGGGGTTGAAAGAAGGCCGTGCGATTCTCATTGTGGGAGGAGGAAGAGGAGAGAGACGGAAGACGGGGAGCGGTGCCTGACGACAAAGGGCGCTTCCTTGTACGGAAGCGAAAGGGAGGATAGAGCGATCGGACGTTTATGTGAGGAATCAAATCGAAAATACTTTTGATGCGCTGTATGTCGAGGCAGACGTCTCAAAAGGCGTTGTGGAGGGGCGTGAGATGGGGTGGAATGGATTGTTTATGCCGATAGCGATCGAAAAACCCAAGACCAGGTGAACGGGGCAACCCGATCAATGCCGCGCGGACGCTAAAGTGGGCGGTTTCAAATGGTAGCGTTGGCGAACCCGCAGCGCAACAACAATATCAGCAGCGAAATGAGTTTCAGTCAATCACGTTATTTGAACGAGGAGAGATTGAGAGAGATGAAAGAGTAAGGGGCAGAAAAGTTGACAGATGAATGTGAATGAGATGAGATGATTGTGGCTGAAGCGAATTGCGCAGCATCTCTTCAGCTTCAGTCTTTGGTACGGTACCGTAACTTGCGATGCCGATCTTACCGCTTGACTAATTATAGCCTAGGCAGATGTGGCCGCCAGAAATAGCAGCACCTGACATACACTTCTCCATACACTTACTATCTATATTGACATTCACCATGTTGGGCTCACAGCTCCCGGCTTCTACGGAATACCGTTGTCTGGTCGACATCCCAACATGAGTTGAGGATGAAGCTCGGTTGCTTACATTCCTCGTTGGTACCGTACCTGTTCCGAAGGCCCTCCATATAAAGTTTCTGGTCGACCAATCGGAAATCCTGCGGGGAGCCTTCCAAGGCTGACGAATGCCAGTCAACCAGCTCACCTGGAGGTCATGGGAGCAGTTCAGGCAGCTGTATTAGGAGATAGAAGAGGATATAATGTGCTGGCATGGCACTTACTCTACAATATCGTTTCTGCGAATATCACGATTAGTATTCGTCTGGCCCAAATCTGTTGGCAAACAGTGGCAGACGAAAGATCTATAATAGAACAGTATAATCCAGATAGTATCAGTGATAACGCAGTCTGCTCAGATGAAGCATTCTGAGAAAATTAAGACGTATTCCAGGTGACTTAAAACTCTTAATAGAGACCGGGCCCTGATTTATGATACATATACTATACATATATATATATATATCTCGTCACTTCAGTCGAAGGAAGACCATCACATGTAAATAGTAAAGATCATATACCTAGTAGTCTCGCTATATTAGTCTTAATATAAGAAAGAGATCAGCCTAACTAGCCTTACATGGTCTTACATTCCTGCTACACTGATGTACAATGACGTACATGTATTACTAGACATATAGTCCATGTCTTCGTACACCACGTGCTTCCCGTTCAAAACCATAGAATCCCTAACTTGAAGTTATCTTACCTGCACATACTATCTACTATGTTCTATCCCTATTTAACAGCCTCCTTTACCAACATTTCCACTTACCAGACCACAGATAGTATCCTCAACTTGGACATGCCTATACTACTTAGTAGTACTACTACTATTCAACCCGAATAACCCCACAACCCACATAACGATGGCCCCTCAACAAACCCAAAACCCAATACAACAACCGAAACAAGCAAATCCAAATTGCTTTTTCATAACCAAATTCACTCAATTCATACATAGAAGCACAGCCAATCACATCATCTAGCGGCAGTACTAGCCGTTTTAAACTAGCGCTAAGAAATTGTTCTCATGGAAACAGCTCTAGATGTAGTCTAGACTGTTTGTAGTACGCGGGATATTGACTATCTATGCTGCAGATCTTGTAGATTATATTCTACTTCATACAATTGATTATACTTAGATATATTTCAACAAGTAAGAAGAGTCATAATATTCAAAATAGCAATAACAAAACAATATCCCAAGGCGCCACTTAATGCTCCTTTATATAACCAAGTAATCGTAACATCGTGTCCTGTCCTGTCCTGTCCTGTGGTTCCCGTCCTTCCGTCCGTCCGTCCATGCTGAGTGGAACAAAGGAAATAACCAACGAACAAAAAGTACTGATAATCGAAAGAAAGAGAATGAAAGGGTGAATCACTAAGGTATGCAATCACGCCCTCTTCACCCTCTTCGGTTTCACAATCATCTCCAGCTCCCTCAACGGCTGATAGACATGAGCATGCCACCACCAAGGCAGCGGATCCAGCTGGGAGAACTTCTGATTCTTCCAGAAGAACAGGAGCTTACTGCCCTCGTTAAGGGCACGATCGACCTGTTTTCCCAGCGATCCAAATACCTTCACATTGGCCTTCTTCGCAGAGCGAAACAGACTGAATCGTCGACGCGGAGGAGGCGTAGTAATATCGGGCTTTGAAGAAGCAGACGCAGACGCAGTCGCAGCATTCGCCGTGCCATTGGCCTCCCCCTCGGCGACACCATTTGTCTGCGGGGTCAATGCCTCCAGATACCCATCCACCAAGGACTTCAAATCATCCTCAAGGATGCGATACTTGACCGCCGACGCGCCATGCGAGCAGCTATCAATCAGTATCACATACCGCAGACAGTTGTCGCTCACCTCCTCATCCACCATCACCTTCAACCGCAGATGCCCTGTCAACCGGGCACCCATCTGGCTCGCAAACCGCTCTATCAGCGCCTGAATCGCCGTTGCGAGCCCGCGGTCCATCGGTGACTGGCCCCAGCCACCATCCCCATCCTCCTCAGCGGGGTAGATCTTAGTTGCCTTGACCTTCCCTGCAACGACCGCCATCTCGGCATAGAACCCTCCCAACCTGGTCTGTTGCTGCAACATCCACGGCCTCTCTCTGGAGATGCGAATCTCACTGACCTCGGAATAGGTCAGACTAAGAGTCCGTTTCGGCAGCATCACCTCGCGATCATCCGCCCTCCGCATATTCCACACTTTGGTCGGCGACCGATGCAGGATCTTATGTACCGCATCCCGAGACAACACCTCGTGTCTCTCCACAACAGGTAATCCCTTCTCGACCAGAAATGCCAGGAAGGCTTCCCGGTCCGTTGAGGATTGGGAGAGTATATCTACCATCCCCCGATCAAGAGTGACGCACTTACATCCCGTCCGTGCCTCAACCACGCCCTTCGCGACGGCATCTTCTTCCCCCTCTGTCTCCTCGCTGCACGGGATCCAGACGTCCACGTTCTCTTTCATCACCACATCTAGTATTTGCGCTGCGTACCCTTTCGTAGTACCGCCAGGGACACCAGTGGTAATGCGATAATACCCGCTCAGTACCCGGGACATACTCTCCCCGCACGCCACGCCCGACGGGTCATCCCCGCCCACCACTTCGGCCCCGATGACCCGATGGCCAGAGTAATACCATCCGCGCGCGATGGCCAGGCCATACGGAGTGTCGATACCAGTGACGAGGACAGTCCGCGGCTTGAATTGGCTGTCGCGGAGGGCGGCAGCGCGGCGACGGGCACCGGTTTTGTTGCTGTCTGTTAGGGAGAAAGGGAAGTAGCCTGCGGCGTAGGCAGCGAGGAGAATGGTGTTGTCAAGAGGGAGGAGAGCGAGGGAAATAGCGACGCGGAACAAGTGCACTAGGACTTGGAGTTGGAGGAGAGAGCAGCGGGGAGATTGCAGAGACCGGGATTTGGTTGTGAGGGCGCGGCGGAGGCGAAAAGGGTGACCGACTGTCATTTTGAAGTTATTTTTAATTGATTCTTTTTATTGTCTCCAGTGGGTATATGGATAGGTTTCGGGGATTAGTTTAATTAGTTAGAGGTAAAGTGGGGTTATTGTTGTATAGTATAGTATAACCCCGAAAGCACCAAAAAAGAAACCCAAAATGATAAAGAGAAATGAAAATGAAGATGGCCTCTGCGAAATACCCACGGGCGGAAATTCTCCCTATATTATGTACTCCGTAGTATGTGTCGCGCGAATGCAAATGTAATGTGCGTCTCTCTGTGTGTGTGGAATGCTGCAAGGCGACCACGTCAGCATAGGATACGCATTTGTGATGCGAGGCGGGTGGTGCTGGATAGATAGATAGGTAGATAGATAGTAGACTAGTAGACTAGTAGCTAGGAGAGAGATGTGTTGGGTTGCTGCTGATGCCGAGTGTCAAAGTAAGTGAGTGAGTGAGGTGGCTGGGACTGCCAGCTAGCTAACTAACTGACTAGCTAAACAGCTGTCCGTCTATCTTATGGTTTCCACATCGCAAAGTGGGGGATGCGGACGGAGCCTATTGGAAAGAAAAAGCAATATGCGGATTTCAGTTTTTTTTTGCCTCGGGCTGGGCTGGTTGGTGTCTGAGACTTGCATGCGATTGTAGGGTTGCAGTGCAAGTAGGAATTGATTGGATGGGTGCGGCCGAGGTTAGGTAGGGTAGCTGCTTGGCTACGGTTGCGGCATTCCTTGCCTTGCTACGGAGAGTAGCTAGCCCTGCCATGTAAGTTGTCCAGTACGCAGTAGGTAGATAAGAATCGGTAGATGGATACCCAATTTAATGCTGGGCGGGATGTGCTTGTGTGGTGCATGCAGCTGCTCATTGGGTTTCAGTTTCGGTTTCGTTTCATGTTATGCCATTGTGAGGAAGAGTTGCATTATTGGTTCGTTGAGGTCATTGTATGTGTCATGCATGCAGATAAAAGTAAGCAGTTGAGAAATGCACTAGATCTCGTGAGGTACTCAGAATAGATAGAATAATTAGGTAGTCGCTAGCTGAAGTGCAGATCTACAGGTAACTAGCTAGCTAGCTACTAACTACCGCGTCTTCGGTTACTACTACTACTGCCGGGAAAGTGTTCCTTGGTTCTCACCAAATCCCGGGACACCATTTAGTGGATCAGGGAACATGTAGCCAGATGCATCAAAAGCAGAAGTAAAGCAGCTGAATGCCGCTCGCAACATACCTAATGCAGTAACTGCACAGTGACATTTCCGATCGTCCGTCGGAGATTCCATGGCCGGCGGCGGATGCGGACGAAGGGATAGATCCGGTACGGAGCTCTTTCCAAGCACTTTACCATGGCATCT